GAGAGAGAGAGAGAGAGAGAGAGAGAGAGCAGACACAACAACAGCAAATTTGTGCACGGAAAGCTGCTGTTTCGGAAACATTTTTTCTTACACATTGTGCTCCGCACTAATTACCGGTCTGATAACGATAGGCCCAAACACACGCTGATCAAATCTATTCCTATCACACACTCTGTCTCAATACTAACCTCACATTGCTGTACTTAACTAAAGCTCTGCAACCTTTTGTTTCTCCTTTAGACATTTGTGTCACGACGCGTTGGAATCAGGTTCTCGTTAATTTTTGGACATGTAGAGTTAGTGGTATTATCTTACAGCTTGTTCATTTGTTTTGTTTTGGATGAAAAAGTATCCATTTATATTGAATAGACGTCGAGGTATTTGTGAATGAAGGAGGTGGGGTCACCTAGTTTTAGAGGTAAAATTGGAGAGAAAGTGGTCGCCAAAGATTAGTTATTTTCCTAGCTTGAGAGTCCATAGGAACTAAAAATTTACTATTTTGTGCCTTTAATAAACGTTTTTCAGTAAAAACCCAGGCAGAAGTGTGTTCTTTAATGGGCATGAAAAGTGTTGAGCCAAAAAACGAAAATTCGATACAAATTCACAAACCTAAGAAAAAAATGCCATTTTCCTCACTTTTGTTATTTTGACGAGTGCCTGATTTCACCACGCTGCCTCACATTTGACAAGCAGCTCAAACCAGATACATATAGTTGCCATCACCCTGAAATGGGCCCAAGATAATAAAAGTGGCATAACTCCACTTTCAACAGTTTTGAAAAAAAAATTACTTAGATACCTGGAGGTGACATCTCTGACTTTGAGGTTGGCATGTAACGACCCGTCATCTTTCATGGTCGAGAGCTGCTGCTCCATATTCTTCCATATCCAGGCCAGCCCATGTTTTTACGTTATCCACCCAAGCTGCTCCTTGTCTTCCCCTGGCTCTTCTGCCCCACATCCTTCCTTCATGCCCATTTTTCACAATGGTCTCGTAACAAAAAGATGGCCTTTTTAAATTCAAAAACCTTTAAACCGAGGACTATGAATTATTAAATTTCGGTTCTATTTGCGAGAATCTCTTTTCAACTGCCGTTAAGCTGCTTTCTTTGACTAAAATATGCGACCTTGCTTTATTCCACACAACGATCAGTCAGTTTTGACCAACAGTGGAGATACGCCTCTCTTGGATTTGAGTGCATAAATTACGATGTAGAGTCATTCGAGATCTCTCTTTTCGACAAGGCGATAGGACATTATCAGGACTGATCACATTATCATCCAACAGGAAACACCAGAGTATTCGTCATGATCTCTACCAACAGGAACTCTTGAAAAACGCACTGAGACTTCTTTAATTTTTTTCTTCTCTTTTCTTCAGAATACCTCTGGAGAGGACAATGAGACTCCGAAGGGGCTTTTTCTTTAAAATAATATGTATCAATAAGTTGCTGTTACTGAGTCTTCTTGTTTCCATCGACATAATTTAAACGTTTCAGGAGGCTTGATCCTAAACCTACCCCTATGCGCCCCCGCTCCGCTTCTTGTCTCTTTCACTTCTAAA